GCCTTTTTACACCGGCTAAGAAAGAGCCGCTTGAGGCCACCGTGGTTGAAGCGAGATAAATGAAAAGACTATGGAAGGAGCAGACGGAAAGTGAGGAGAGGAGGAACGCCTATACGGAGATTGAGAGAGGTAGGCTCCGCGCGTGTATGTGTGCTCGAGTGAGAAAGAGGCAGAGATCGAAGGATTAAACGGAAGAAGAGAAGGAGGAGGAGAGAAATAAAAGAGTAAAAAGGAAGGATGTTGGATAGGATGGTAGGGAGAAGGGTGGTAGGTAAAAGCAGGATGGAAACGAGAAGGGAAGGAGAGAATCGACCGGGTGGTGCAAGAAGCGAAGGAAGAGAAGGCAAAAAGGAGGAAAAAAGGTGGGATCCCTTAAAAATTGAGACCCACAGAGGTGGGGATCGGAATTTCGGGCCCCGTAAACCGGCCAGTCTCGAGGAGGCCTTCGCGAAGATGAGGTGAAGAGAAGAGGAGATAGACATCCGACGGGATAGAAGAAGAAGAAGGAGAACGAGAAGGAGAAGAAGAAGAAGAAGAAGAAGAAGAAGAGGAAGGCGAGGGCGAAGAGGAAAACGACGAGGAAGAAAAAGGCGGAGAAGAAGGAAAGGAAGAAGAGTATATCGGAGAGGAAAGAAAGAGACGGCAACGATCACGACGTTCACGACGACCACGACGACGAAGAAGACGAAGAAGAAGAAGAAGAAGAAGAAGAAGAAGAAGAAGAGGAACCGTGCCTAGTCTACTGTGTACCCGGCATGGACCGTCAGTACACACTCTGCGTACTCGTACCGGCGCACCAGTACCGCACCTACGTAAACAATTACCATCAGCAGGCGCATCAACAGCGACTGCAACAACACCAACGCCAGCAATATTCCGAGCAGCAACGTTCCTGCAAACAGCCTTATCAACAGGAGCAAATTTACGAGAACGTCGTGTCCCAATATCGAATGAGAATGTGCTACCACAACGACTACGAGAACGACGAGCAGATACAGAGGTTCTATTGGGAGCAGTGCTACAGACGCGATGACACCGACGCCACCGCATACTATTACTGTGAATACGTAAGGACTCTTCCAGGATTTTCGCGTATCTCGTGCGTTACTTCGATCTCTTGGAATCCGTCGAAGTGAAATTCCACGTCCGGCGTATCATCGTCAACGACTTTGTCACCGATCAGTGTTTTCCTTTCCATACCTCTGCTATCTAATGTCTCATATTTCGTTCAAATATCTCTCTGTCTCTCCGATCTCACGTGTCTCTAATATCAAGATACGATCCGCTGATAACATCGAATAGAAATTTCGAATCATTCACTGTTTCTGTCTTTCGCATTTACACGTCGACTAAGAGAAAAAGAGAGAAAGAGAGAGAGAGAGAGAGGCCTCGAAAACGAACGGTAATTG